ACTCTGCCCCACCTCATCTCCCTGCCTCCTCCAACCCTAAGCAAACATTAATATGCTTTCTGTCTCTATAGACTTTACTATTCTGGACATTTCACATGAATGGAATCACATAACATGTGATATTTTTGTCTGGCTTCTTTGACTCAGCATAATGTTTTTAAGGAGCTCCCTCTGGCCAAACCTGGGACAATTTGAGTAGCAAAAGAAATAATGATAGTAATAGGTTATAACCCACTGAATAAAGTAGGAAGTCACCAGTCCATAATAGGTCAGCAGATATATATGTAGGTAGGCAAATAGATAGGGAAGAAGTGTAGCATGTACATGTAGTAACATGTATCAGTATTTCCTTCCTTTTTGTGGCTGAATAATATTCCATTGTGCAGGTGTATCACATTTTGTTTATTCATTTGTCAGCTGATGTACATTTGGGTTGTTTCCACCTTTTGGCTATTATAAGTAATGCTGCTGTAAACATTTGTGTACATGTTTTTATGCAGATATATATTTTCATTTATCTCAAGTATATATATACATCTAGGAGTGGAATTGCTAGGTCAAATGATAACTCTATGTTTAATAATTTGAGGAACTGCCAGACTGTTTTCTAAAGCAGCTGCACCAGTTTACATTCCCACCAGCAGTGTTTGTATGAAGTTTCCAATTTCTCCAAATCCTCATCAGCACTTGTTATTATCTGACTTTTTGATTCTAGCCATCCTAGTGAGTGTGAGGTAGTATCTCATTGTAGTTTTGATTTTCATTTCCCAGATAATTAATGATGTTAAGCATCTTTTCATGTACTTAATGGCCATGGCTGCTTCATTTCTTAAGGATAATTTTGCCAGATATGGAATTCAGGGTTGACAGTTCTTTTCTTTCAGCACTTGAAAAATGTTGTGCCGTTTCCTTTGCTCCACCATGGTTTTGGGTGAGAAATCTGCTGTCACTTTAATTGTTTTTCCCCTATAGGTAAGGTGTCATTTCTCTCTTGCTGATTTCAAGATTTTTTCTTTGTCTTTAGTTTTCTGAAGTTTGACTATAATGTGTCTTCGTATAATTTCTTTGGTTTATCCTTTTGGGGTTTGCTCAGCTTCTTGAAACTCTATGTTGATATCTTTTGCCAAATTTGAGAAATTTTCAGCTATAATTTCTTCAAATATTTTTCAGCCCCACACTTTCTCCTCTCTTTCTGGAACTCTGATGACATGAATGCCAGATCTTTTATTATAGTCTCAGAGGTCCCTGAGGCTCTGCTCATTTTTTTTCCAGTCAATTTTCTTTCTGTTGTTCAGATTGGATCATTTCTATTGTTCTATCATCAAGTTCTCTAATTCTTTCCTCTGTCCTCTCTATTCTGCTGTTGAGCTCTTCCACTGATATTAAAATTTTAGTTATTCTATTTTTCAGTTCTAAAATTTCCATTCTGTTCTTCTTTATATCTTTTTTTCTGAGATTTTCTGGTTTTATATTTAAGTATATTGAAGCATTTTTTTAAAAATAATAACAAACTGTTAGCACAGGGACAAAATGTTCCCCTGATGACTCTAATGCATAGCCAGACTTTTAAAAAATATTTATTTATTTGTTTGGTTGCTCCAGGTCTTAGTTGCAGCAGGTGAGCTCCTTTGTTGCAGCTCACAGGCTCCTTAGTTGTGGCATGCATGTGAGATCTAGTTCCCTGACCAGGGATCAAACCCAGGCCCCCTGCATTGGGAGTGTGGAGTCTTAACCACTGTGCCACCAGGGAAATCCCTGAAGCATTTTTATAATGGCTGCTTTAAAATCCTTGATAATTCTAACATCTGTGTCATCTCAGTGTCAGTGTCAGTTGATTGTCTTTTCTCATTCCAGTTAAGATTTTCTTGCTTCTTCACATGATGCCTGATTTTCAGTTATGTCTTGGATATTTTGGGAACTCTGAGACTCTGGATATTATTTAAATCTTGTGTTTAGCAGTCTCCCTCCAACACTGTTCTGCTAAAAAAGGAGAATCTCCTTCTTACTGCCAGGTGGAGGTGGAAGTTCAGGTCCCTAATTAGCCTCCTTTGACACCCCAGAGGGGACAAGCACCTTGTTGATCCTGGGTGGAGGTGGAATGTCATGCTCCCCACCAGACCACCTCTGACACCACCCTGGTGGGGAGACAAAAAGGTACCTCATTACTGTGTTGGGGGTAGAAGTTCAAGATCCCCACATAGCCTAAATTGACACTGTGTGGGAGGGGCCTCATTATCCCCAGGCAGGGATGAAAACCTAGGCTCCCCACTCAGCCTTTGCTGATGAGAATTGGGATGGGAGCTGCAGCTTTTTTCTGTGATGCTTGGCTGGAGTAGGGCAGTAACTATCTAAATTTTTCTTTCTTGTTACATTGGCCCTTTCCTGGTACTTTGGCTAGAGATAGCAGGCTTTCTTGGGACTGTTTTTATCTGCACCAGTTGGCATTCTGGGTTGCCAGCTTCTCCACCACCCAGTCCAAGATATATGGGGTGAAAAGAAAACTCAGGGAAATCACTGCTGTGTCACTCCTCAGGTTCCAAGGTCCCTAGGAAGTTAGCCTCCTTCTCTCCAACTGATAGTCTTCTTATCTTTTTTTTTGTTGTTGTTGTTTTTGTTTTTGCGGTACGCGGGCCTCTCTCACTGCTGTGGCCTCTCCCATTGCGGAGCACAGGCTCCAGACGCGCAGGCCCAGCGGCCATGGCTCACGGGCCCAGCCGCTCCGCGGCATGTGGGATCTTCCCAGACCGGGGCACGAACCCGCGTCCCCTGCACCGGCAGGCGGACTCTCAACCACTGTGCCACCAGGGAAGCCCATCTTTTTTTTTATATATAATGTCCAGCTACTTAGCAGGAGAAATAGGGAGAATTGTATCTGTTTCATCTTGAGCCCATTGGTAACTTTTAAACTTAATTTTTTAATAGGTAATACATTCACATAGTTCTTTACCCCAGTCCCACAGATTTCCCTAACCAAGAAACCAGTCTTGATTAGTTGGTGGGTGGGTGGGTGGATGGGTGGTATATGCTTATAGATTATGCAAATAAAAGCAACTAAGAAAATATCCTTCATATTTTTCCACAAAGATAGTAGATACTGTTACTGTTATGCTGAACACTGATTTTTAAAATTACTGTTAATTTTAAACTTTTTTATCATGAAATAGTACACACATTTTGAATAATGCTGCTGTAAATACTCTTGAACATGCCTCTTGTTGCACATGAGCACATATTCCAATTGAGCATATTTCCATGGATGGAATCACTGTGCCCTTGTGTATGCATATTTCAACATTACCGGATAAAGCCAAAAGGTTTTCCAATATGGTCGTCCAATTTACAGCTCCATTAGACATATGAGAGTTTTCATTGCACCATGTTCTCTTCAACACTTCATATTGCCGTTCTTCAAATAACTTTTTTATTGAGGTATAGTTGATTTATAATATTATATAAGTTTCAGGTGTACAACATAGTGATTCACAGTTTCTAAAAGTTATACTCCATTTATAGTTATTATAAAATATTGGCTATATTCCCTGTGCTGTACAATATATCCTTGTTGCTTATTTATTTTATACATAGTAGTTTGTACCTCTTAATCCCCTACCCCTACCTTGCCCCTTGCCCCTTTCCTCTCCCCACTGGTAACCACTAGTTTGTTCTCTATGTCTGTGAGTCTGTTCCTGTTTTTTGTTATATTCACTAGTTTGTTTTATTTTTTAGATTCCACATATAAGTGATATCATATAGTATTTGGCTTTCTCCATCTGACTTATTTCACTTAGCATAATACCCTCCGAGTCCACCCATGTTGTTGCAAATGGCAGAATTCCATTTTTTTTATGGCTAAGTAGTATTCTATTGTATATATATACTACATCTTTACCCATTCATCTGTTGATGGACATTTAGGTTGCTTCCATGTCTTAGCTACTGTAAATAGTGCTGCTTTGAACATTGGGGTGCATGTATCTTTTCAAATTAGCATTTTTGTTTTCTTTGGATATATACCCGGGGTGGAATTGCTGAATCATAAAATCATTCTGTTTTTAGTGTTTTGAGGAACTGTTTACCACAGTGGCTGCACCAATTTACATTCTCAACAACAGTGTACAAGGGTACCTTTTTCTCCACATCCTTGATATTGCCAGTGTTTTTCATTGAAGACATTGTAAGGTTGTGTAATGGTAACTCATTATGGTTTGAATGTGCATTCCCTGGTTACTAAGGAAGTTAAGCCCTTTTTGTGTTTATTAATGCCTTGGATTTCCTCTTTTGTAAAATGCCTGTTCAGACCTTTTGCCCACTTTTCTACTGGTGATCTCTCTCTTTTTTAAAAAAATTGGTTTGTAAGTGTTCTTTACATTCTCTAGATATGAGCCCTTTGTCAGTAATGTGTTGCAGATATCTTTTATTTGGTGGCTTTTCTTTTTTTTCTCTTATAATGCTGTATTTTAAATGCTGTCTCTTCATTGGAGACAGACATCAATCTTTTTCTTTATGGTTAATGTTTTTTGCATCCTGTTTGAGAATTATTTTCATAATCCAAGATGATGAAGATATTCATCTCTACTATGGTTTTTTCTGTGTTATCTTTTAAAGGCTTTATTGTTTTGCCTTTCCCCCAGTACATTTCTTCCAAATGCATTTTAGCCCCCTTTGTATCTTCTTATGTTGGTTGCCAAGTTGTTTTATATTTTAGTCAATTCTATATTGCCATTGCCTGGCACATAATCAACCAGTAAATGTATTGTATGTAGTTCCTACGTTAACTCGAGGACTTAAAGAGAGCCTATTTTTATCCTCATTTTTGAAAAAAGAGGGACTGAATGAATAAATGAATGAATTTAATACACAGTGAATGTCAAGATACTTCAATGTGTTTTTCTCTCACAAAATAAAATGCAAAACTGGGTGCTGGATGAAAACCCTATATGATACATTATGGTAAAAGTCATTAAAAACAACTTCCTATCCCTCTTCCCTCCATCCTCCAGTGCTGACCATGTCACCTTGAACAGGACTGTGTTGTTACAGGTGTCATTCAAGGATGTGACTGTGGACTTCAGCAGGGAGGAGTGGCAGCACTTGGACCCTGCTCAGAGGCTCCTGTACCGGGATGTGACGCTGGAGAACTATAGCCACCTGTGCTCAGTGGGTAAGCACAGCCACCCTATGCACTTGCCAGGGGCCTCAGAGAGGCTGCTTCCATTCTCAGCTGCTGAATGCTCTGGGGCATCTGAAGTGTGTGATGGTGTCATCCTTGATTTGCCCAAGATACTTCAGTCCTTTTTCACGTCTGTGATTATTACTCTACTCCCAGTGAAATGGGATTACTTTCCTGAAGAGCAAATGGAAGTGTCATTGAAAGGCCCCAAAACCCAATTAGCTGGACCCAATCCTGTATCATGTCCTGTTAACAGGGTACCAAGTTCCCAAACCAGAGGTCATCTTCAAGTTGGAGCAAGGAGAGGGGCCATGGACGTTGGAGGAGGAAACCCCACATCAGAGCTGCTCAGGTGAGTAAGTGTGACCTAGGCAGATGGGGGACATGGAAATAGATCTCAGTTTCTCTAGAAGAAGCTGATGCCTTTGAAAGGCTCTGAAGTTATCTTATCTTGAAGGCTCGAAGCATTTGGAGTTGCTTGGAGAGAGTTGACAGAGCCCCTCCAATATCTGAATGCTTTCTCCAAGTATGACCCTTGCCGATACCCATTGTCTTCTTTGCTTGGCTTTGTGACAAGAAAGCTGTCTCTAATCTCTGTACCATGGATCACATACATACTACGCTATCTTACCTAGGGACTTTTTATTCTTCCTACTTCACTCCCACCTCCTTATCTTAGGTTCTTTTCTTGTACATTAGGTATTTTAAATTTTCTTCCCTTTTATTCCAATTCCTCATAACCATCCCTTATGCCTCCTCCCAAAGGCAACAGATCTAATGTGTTTGATCTTTGAATTTGTATGATATTCTCTTAAAGCCTGAAGTATTGGTTTATAAGTATGTATTTTTAGTATATATAAATTATATTGTGCTACATGTCTTTTTTTTAAAACACTCTTTGTTTATACATTTTAAAACTTTATTTATTTTCCTTATTTTTTTGGCTGTGTCGGGTCTTAGTTGCAGCACACAGGATCTTCATTGAGGCATGCAGGATGTTTGGTTATGGCCTGCGGTCTCTTCATTGTGGTGCTCGTGCTTCTTTCTAGCTGTGGCTCGTGGGCTTCTCTCTAGTTGTGGCGTTTGGGTTTTCTCTCTCTAGTTGTGGCACATGGGGTCCAGGGCGCACAGGCTCAGTAGTTGTGGTGCGTGGGCTTAGTTGCCCCACGGGCATATGGGATCTTAGTTCCTCGACCAGGGATAGAACCCACATCCCCTGCATTGGAAGGCAGATTCTTTACCACTGGACCACCAGGGAAGTCCCTGTGCTACATGTCTTAATTATGTTCCTTTTTTTCACTCACCCCTAAGGTCTGTCCATATTGCAGTGCTCATCTGGCTTCATTCGTTCAAATTGCTGCATAGTATTGCACAGTGTGCTAGCACCACATCTTATTGAACCATACACCCAGTGGTGAAACCTAGGTTTTCATTAACTCCCATTTAAGACAAACAACTCTACAATAAATTTCTACACAGATGTTCTCTTAGAGTGTGAGAATTTCTCAGGGATGTATATAGAAGAGAGGGTTTGCCTGATCATTGCATATTCTCATACTGAATTTGAGCACCACCGTATTCTTCTTGAATTGGCTGCACTAATCTACTCTCCCAGCAATAGGGCACAGGGTTCTTGCTTTCCTCGAGTTTCTGCCAACAATTAGTATTACCAGAGTTTCTCATTTTTGGGCCAACTATGGGTATAAAGTGATATCTCATTTTTTATTTCTCATTTCTCCAATACCTAGTTTGAGCATTTCATTATTGACCATTTGTGGTCTCTTTGAGTTTCTCTCCTATGAGTGACCTTGCTCATGTTCCCCTAGTTTTGGTTTGTTTCCTGTCTGTTTCATACTGATTTGCATCCAATTTATTATTTGCCCACTTTTCCAGCCTTCTCCTCATTATCCCCATAAATGAGGTTGCCCTACGAACCCTGTCTACTGTTCACCAGTCTTTTCTTCATATACATGCAAGGATTCATCCATTTTGAAATTCTGATGACTCTGTTTTTGACATCTCCAATCTGTTCTTCCCTGGTACTTTAGTACTACATTTAGCTACCCAGAAAGTTCCATTGAGATGTTTCTCTTGCTCCTCACTACATCAGAAATTGGAATCATTACCTTATGTATCAGAAACCCTTCTCACCTTCCAACTTTTCTCACATTTGTCAGTGTTTCTTAAATCTTTCTGTCATTTTTAAGTTAATCACTCTACAGTTCCTACTGCTTTTCCATTTCTGAGAATATCATTTTCAGTTCTCAGTTCATCTTCTTAGTTCCCAGTAATATCACCCAAAACCAGCTCCATATTTTCTTACGCCTGGATTATAATTTTTCTATTACTGATTATATTTGCTAATTCCATTCTTTTTATTAGTTCACTTCAAAAGCCAACGATAAATTTCATTGCCTAAAATGTTCTATTTATCTTGACATTAGCTTTATGAAAAAACCTACAATTATTCCCCGTGACTTAGCATGTGACAATTCAACTCTTCATTCAGAGAGGCAAACAACATGACCATGTATTTCGAATTCAAATGTGTATCTGTATATTTTGTATAACCTATGCTCAAGTCCATTTTTAACATATTTTATGATTCTATAAGGTTTATTTATGTTAATAGTTCTATGAGTTTTGGGGAATTCCCTGGCGGTCCAGTGGTTAGCACCCAGTGCTTTCACTGCCAGGGCCTGGGTTCGATCCCTGGATGGGAAACAAAAATCCCGTAAGCCACGTGGTGTGGCCAAAATAATAATAATAATAATAATTCTATGAGTTTTGACAAATGCATACAGTCATGTAACCACCACCACAATCAAGATATAGAACAAAAATTACCTCAGGTCCCTTTATTGTTACTTCTTCCCACCACTTCCAGACCTGGAAAATACTAATGTCTTTTCTGTCTCTATAGTTTTGCCTTTTCCAGGATGTCATATAAATGGAATCATACAGTATGAAGCTTTTTGAGCCTGACTTCTTTCACTTAGCATAAAGCATTCAAAACTCATTCCTACTGTTGTGTTTTCCATAGTTTGTTCCTTTTTTATTTCTGAGTAGTATTCCATAGTATGGATGTATCACAGTTTATCCATTCACCAGCTGAAGGATATTTGGATGGTTTCCAGTTTTGGTGTTTATGAATAAAGGTGCTATGTTTATATATTTGTTTCCATATTTTGTGTGATGATAAGATTTCATTCACTTGGGTAAATACCTAGGAGTCAGATTGCTGGGCTGTATGGTAAGTATATGTTTAACTTTACTAGAAACTGCCAAACTTTTCCAAAGTGGCTATACAATTTTCAATTCTAACCAGCTATGTATGAGAGTTCCAGTTGATCTGCATTCTCACCAGCACTTGGAATTGTCCATTTTTAAAACTTTTAGCCATTCTAATAGTAAAATAGTTGTATCTTACTGTGGTTTTAATTGGCATTTCCATAATATCTAATATTTGACATCTATATATCTTCTTTGGTGAAGTGTCTGTACAAATCTTTTGCCCAGTTTTCTATAGGGAACATTGTTTTCTTATTGTTGAGTTTTGAAAGTTCATTATATATTATGGACACAAGTTATTTATCAGGTATGTGTTTTGCGAATATTTTTATTTGCTTATCAGTGTCTTTCATGAGGCACTTAAAATTTGGACAAAGTCTAATTTATCTTTTTTCTTATGTTATGGATTGTGCTTTTGGTGTTGTATCTAAGAAATCTTTACCTAATCCAAGGTCCCCCAAAAAATTAGGTCTTACATTTAGTTCTGTGATGCATTTTGCATTAATTTTTATATGTGATTTAAAGTATGGATCAGAGTTTTGTGTTTGTTCATTTTTGCACATGGCTATCCAATCATTTCAGCATCATTTATTTTAAAAAAAAAGCTATCTTCCTCTCAACTGAATTGCCTTTGCACCTTTATTGAAGATCAGTTGTCATATATATGTGGGTCTCTTTCTGGACTCTTCATTCTGTTCCATTGATCTATTCATGTATCTTTACACCATTCCCACACTGCCTTGATAAGTGTAGCTATGTAATAAATTTGAAATCATGTCATATTAGTCCTCCAACTTTGTTCTTCTCTTTCAAATTGTTTTGGCTATTCTAAGTACTTTGTGTATCCATTTGAATTTTACAGTCAATTTTTCAATTTCTATGAAAGTGAATTTTGATTGTGATTACATTGAATCTATAAGTCAGTTTGGAGAGAATTAACATCTTAACATTATCAACTCTTCCAATCCAAATATATAAATGATTTGATAATTTATGTATTGCAAACTGATTACCACCATAGCATTAGCCAACACCTCCATCCCATCACATAGTTACCATTTCTTTTTTGTGGTGAGAACATTTAAGGTCTACTCTCTAGGCAACATTCAAGTATATGACAGAGTATCATTATCTATAGTCACCATGCTGCACATTAGATTCCCAGAACTTGTTCATCTTATAACTGGAAGTTTGTACCCTTTGACCAATAGCTCTCCATTCCCTCCACCCTCCAGTCCCCGGGAATCACCACTCTATTCTCTGTTTCTCTGAGTTTGGCTTTCTTAGATTCCACATACAAGTGATAATACCATGCAGTGTTTGTCTTTCTCTGACTTATTTCACTTAGCATGATGCCCTCAACATTCAGAGAAGTTGTAGCAAATGGCACAATGTCCTTCTTTCTCATGGCTGAATTATATTCCATTGTATATATATATACCACATCTTTATCCATTCAGTGTGGACAGACACTTGGGTTGTTTTCATATCTTCCTATTGTGAATAATGCTGCAATGAACATGGGAGTGCAGATGTCTCTAAGAGATCCTGATTTCAATTCCTTCGGATATATACCCAGAAGTGGAATTGCTGGATCATACAATAGGTCTCTTTTGAATTTTTTGAGGAAACTCCATACTGTTTTCCATAGTAGCAGCACCAATTTGCACTCCAACCAACAGTGTACAAGTGTTCCCTTTTCTCCACACCCTCATCAGCATTTGTTATCTCTTGTCTTTTTGATGAAAGCCATTCTAACAGGTGTGAGGTGTTATCTCGTTGTGGTTTTGACTTGCATTTCCCTGAGGATTACTGCTATCAAGCACCTTTTCATGTACCTGTTTGCCATTTGTATGTCTTCTTTGGAAAACTGTCTGTTCAATTCTTCTGCCCATTTTTTAATCAGTTTGTTTTCTGCTATTGAGTTGTATATATTCTTTATATATTTTGCATATTAACTCCTTATCAGATATATGACTTGTAAATATCTTCTCCCATTCCATAGGTTGCCTTTTCATTTTGTTGATTGTTTCCTTTGCTGTGCATTTTTAATGTTTTCTTGATGTCTGCCATATTTGATAGTGTTCCCCTAATCTGACTCTTTATTCTGTGCTCTATATATTTAGATGATACATTTTCACCTTGTGATCAGATTTCACTATTTCATGAAATGGCAGTTAATTACTCCAGAATATATGGCTCTTTCTTTTTTCTCATCCTCCATCCCACAGGAACTCACAGAAAAACATAGGATTTTAGACTGTGTGGTAACTAAGGCTTTTTTTACCTCTAAGTTTTTAGAAAGCTCCCAGAATTAAGAGCCTATTTCTCAGATTCACAGACATAGAACACACTTGTAGTTGCCAAGTGGGGGAGGGGTGGACTGGGAGTTTGGAATTGACAGATGGAAACTATTATATATAGAATGGATAAACAACAAGGTCTAACTGTATAGCACAGGGAACTATATTCAATATCCTGTGATAAACCATAATGAAAAAGAATTTTTAAAAAGATCCATTCTTACACTGAAAAAAAAGAGCCTGTTTCTTATTGTATAACTTGGGACCTAATCAGGAGAGAGAAACCACATACTAATTTGAACATGGAAAGTTTAACAAAGAATTATTAGTGCCACTGCAATGAGAAGCCCACACATCGCAATGAATAGTAGCCCCCACTCACTGCAACTAGAGAAAGCCCACGTGCAGCAACAAAGACCCAACGCAGCCAAAAATAAATAAATAAATAAATAAATTTGAAAAAAAGAATTATTAACTATTGTGGGATTGAGGTAACAAGGGATTAGCCAGTAAAAGTAAAGAGAACTCTAAAGAATAAAGGAATAGCAAATTAGTGTGGGAGAGTATCTCTAAGGCTGTGAAGGAACACCCAAGGAAGCGCATCCCCTGCTTCCCAGGGATGAATCCAGACCTTATAGGGAGGGCATATCCACGGCTCACAGCATGGCAGCTGTCGTGCCACACTGGTTGAACTTACTGGAAATCTACCCTCTGAGGTTACAGAAAAAGCTGATCATAGGGAAGTGTCTCATTGGAAATATTCCACTACAAGCCATCTGAGAGGGGTGCCAGGATAAACTGCTGGGTGCTGGGTGCTTCTGGCTGCAATGCACTGCAGAAGCTGGGTGCTTGGGAAGCTATATGAGTGGCAGGAGCTGGGTGCTAAAGAAGTGACCTGCACTGCAAGATCTGGGTGCCTGGGAAGCTGCATGTGCATTAGGAGCCAGATGCTGCTGAAGCCACCACACTGCTGAAGCCTGGTAATAGACAAGCTGCCCTTGCTGGAGGAGCCTGCTGAGTGAGCTCAGTAGAACCAGGAAGCAAAACCCCTTCCTCCAGTGTTTCCCCATCACCCTGTATTGACAAGGTTCAACATCATGCCAGATGGCAAAGGAAAAAAGACTCAGATCCATTTTTGTAGAGCGGGCAGGGAAGGGTGAATTGGGGGTTGAAAGGCAAAAAATTGATAACTGTAACACTTATTCTTCAGTTTTCTGAAGCCAAGCATGGAAAATATTTAGTAAACTTAAATTTATTGAATTTGGGGAGATAGGCAGAGGAGGATATTTTTCTCTCTTTCAGAAGGATCCTTCAAATATCTGATCAGAAGAATTCAAAAGACCATAGATTATATTTGGAAAGGGAAGATAATTGCATGAAATGTTAATAATTTCAGGCTCTGTGTGTTAATTCTCTCTGTTATAACACAAAACTGTGCCAAATTTAGTATCAATATGAGTGGTACTGTGTCTGCTTTATACATTCATAGCAGATATAACCTCCCTAGAGGTGTACTAAAATTAGAGCTGATATCAAGGACAATACCTTCTGAATATGCACAGAGGAGCAAAGCAACAAGCTTAATATAACTGTATCGTCTCTTACATAAGCATTCTCAGGTGAATGGGTGCATTCAACAAATCAACTCTGATCTTGTTGGGTCATTCAAGGACCATGTTCCAAGTTATTGCTCTGCCATCTTCTAGAGTATTGTTGTCAGCTGGGTGGTTGATGTTGGGTCATTGTTGAGTCCTCTGGGCTGGGGAAGGGGGAATGGGGGAGATTTGCCCACTGTCTTAAAGCCTGTCCTAGGAGTGGTACATATCACTTCTGCTCATATTCCACTGGTGAGGACAAAGTGAGACTGGTAAACGTAATGCCCAGCTATGTTCTATTACTATAAAAGAAGAGGTGAATAGATTTTGGTGGATGGCTTGCAGTTTCTGCCGTAGATGGTTTGCCCTCTCCTATTTGACACTTGTTGAAAGCATATATTTTTCCTATAGATATAGAGGAATTGGTATTTGAGGACTATAAATTTAATGTAGATGCTCATAATGGTTCATAGGGAAAAGCAAGAGGAAGCAGAGAGATTATTAATGTTTTAGACCTAATATGTAATAAGGACATACATTCTGAAATATTTCTTCCATTCAGGCTTACCTTTAACAGACTTCAGTTTCTTCTTCTGGTTACTCTACTCACTGTCCTGACTTCCTACATAGTGGATATGGATTCCCAGGTTCAAATCCCATCTCTTATTTATTTAGCTATTTTTTAAATTTAATTTTTTTTTTTTTTTTTTTTTTTTTGCTGTGTTGCATCTTCGTTTCTGTGCAAGGGCTTTCTCTAGTTGTGGCAAGTGGGGGCCACTCTTCATCATGGTGCGCGGGCCTCTCACTATCGCGGCCTCTCTTGTTGCAGAGCACAGGCTCCAGATGTGCAGGCTCAGTAGTTGTGGCTCACGGGTCTAGTTGCTCCGTGGCATGTGGGATCCTCCCAGACCAGGGCTCGAACCCGTGTCCCCTACATTATCAGGCAGATTCTCAACCACTGCGCCACCAGGGAAGCCCTATTTAGCTATTTGATCTTCAGCAAGTTACATAACTTCTCTGTGCTTCTGTTTTCTCATCTGTGAAACATGATTGATAATGATAGCTACCTTTTAGGGTTTAGTGAAGATTAAATGAGCTACTTTGTGTAAAGCACTTGGAAGTGCCTGGTGCATCATAAATGGTATATAATTGTTTTGCATAGAGTAAGTGTTCTAGAAGAATTTCATATTACTATTTTCATTATTGTCATAAAGACTCTTCCATTTCTCTGTTCATCCTGTCCAAATTCCATGTACCCTCTATTCTCTGATAATTGTTCTGGAGTCATTTTCATTTTTTTCTCTTTCTTTTTAGATGAGGATAATGGGCAAACCCAACAACAGAGAATTTCTGGAGAAGTTTCATTACACTGTGAGAAATTTGGTCAGTCCATAGGAAAAGATTCATTGTGTTCCATTGTAGAAGAACTGTGGCAAGATAATGACCAGCTAGAGAGATATCAAGAAAACCAAAATAACCCTTTAAGTCATGTGAAAGTATTGATTAAGGAGAGGGGCTATGAATGTAAAAACATTGAAAAAATAATTCACGTGAGTACCAGGCTTGTTCCTTCCATTAAAAGACTCCATAACTATGACACATTTGGAAAGAGTTTGAAGTATACTTTAAACTTACATAATCATAATAAAAGCAATGCAACAAAGAACTTTGATAAGATTTTTAGAAATGGTAACAATTTTGCCCATAGCTCTTCCTCTACTAAGAATGAGAATGCTAATACAGGAGCAAACTCCTGTGAACTTAATCAATGTGAAAAACATCTTGGCCACAAACAAGTTCTCACACACCATCAGAAAATTCATAATGAAGAGAAACTTTATGTGTGTGCTCAGTACGTACAGATGTTCACCCAAAAGTCACATCTTTTTGAGCATCAGAGAATTCATGCTGGAGAAAAATCCCATGAATGCAACAAGCATGAGAACGTCTTTACTCAGAAGCCGCAAAGTGAGGTACCTCAAAGTGTTTACACAAGAGAGAAACCTTTTATATGTACTCAATGTGGGAAGGCCTTTACACTCAGGTCAAACCTCATTACACATCAGAAAATTCATACTGGGCAGAAACCCTATAAATGTAGTGAATGTGGAAAAGCCTTTTTCCACAGATCATATCTCTTTAGACATATGAGAATTCATACAGGAGAAAAACCTTATGAATGCAGTGAATGTGGAAGAGGCTTCTCCCAGAATTCTGACCTCAATATACATCAGAAAACTCATACTGGAGAGAAACACTATGCATGCAGTGAATGCGGGAAAGCCTTCACAAGAAAATCAGCACTCAGGATGCATCAAAGAATTCACACAGGAGAGAAACCTTATGTATGCACTGAATGTGGGAAGGCCTTCATCCAGAAATCCCATTTCAATACACATCAGAGAATTCATACAGGAGAAAAACCTTATGAATGCAGTGACTGTGGGAAATCGTTCATTAAGAAATCACAACTCCATGTGCATCAAAGAATTCATACAGGAGAAAAACCTTATATATGTACAGAATGTGGAAAGGTCTTTACTCATAGGACAAATCTCACTACACATCAGAAAACTCATACTGGAGAGAAACCGTATATGTGTGCCGAATGTGGAAAGGCTTTCAGTGATCAGTCAAATCTCATTAAACACCAGAAAACTCATACTGGAGAGAAACCCTATAAATGCAATGGCTGTGGAAAGGCCTTCATATGGAAGTCACGCCTCAAAATACATCAGAAATCTCATATTGGAGAGAGACACTATGAATGCAATGAATGTGGGAAAGCCTTTATCCAGAAATCAACACTCAGTGTGCATCAAAGAATCCATACAGGAGAGAAACCCTATGCTTGTCCTGAATGTGGGAAGGCCTTCATCCAGAAATCACACTTCATTGCACATCATAGAATTCATACTGGAGAGAAGCCTTATGAATGTAGTGACTGTGGGAAATGCTTCACGAAGAAGTCACAACTCCGGGTGCATCAGAAGATTCACACAGGAGAGAAACCCAATATATGTGCTGAATGTGGAAAGGCCTTCACTGACAGGTCAAATCTCATAACACACCAGAAAATCCATACTAGAGAGAAACCCTATAAATGCAGTGACTGTGGAAAAACCTTCACCTGGAAGTCACGCCTCGCTATCCATCAGAAATCTCATACTGGAGAGAGACACTATGAATGCAGTAAATGTGGGAAAGCTTTCATCCAGAAAGCAACACTAAGTTTGCATCAGATAATTCATACAGGGAAGAAACCTTATGCTTGTACAGAATGTCAGAAGGCCTTCACTGACAGGTCAAATCTCATTAAACACCAGAAAACTCATAGTGGAGAAAAACTCTATAAAGCCAGTGACTGAAAATGCCTTCAGCTGGAAATCACAACTGGATATGCATCAGCTGTCTCATAGTGGAGAGATGAGGAGTGCCTGATGCATCAATCATTGTGCAGGGGAAGTAGATATGACAGACTACAAACAGCCTAAGTGAACAGAAGGCAAACAAAGCCAAGTATCCTTCAGTCAGGTGGAATACAAGTTGATATGCAATTATATGCATAGGGAGACACTTCAATAAAGCATTTGAGCAATAGCCCTGTTTGGTTTTATGATTCACACAGGTACTCTCAATCTCCTGCAAATGGTAGAAATAGAGACCCCAGGAGATGACTTGTAATCTCCTGTGTTTCACTTTTTGGATAAAGGGCTTTATAAATTCAGCACTGATTTGTCCTTCATACCTTGGGATGTAAAAGTCCTTAATACTGGCCAATTTTTTTTCAAATTTCTAGGGTGGGGAGAAGAGTATTCATTGTTCAAACACCTCCAGGGCACTGAAGTCAAGGCAAAAACCAATTTGGGAATGTATAATAGATCTATGAGTAGAAGCCAGAAGTTTTTGTTATCATTGACATTTAAGACACAGAAAATATTGCCCTGAGGAACCGTTCTTTCTCTTCCCTTTGAGAAGTCACCATGGTATAATTTTTTAAAATTAAACAGAATTTTTAAACTTAAAGTCTGACTTTATGCATTGGCAAATTAAGCATAGCTCTAGCCTATGTTACAGGAATAGAGTTATTAAATGTTACACACACCTAAAGGTGGCAATTGTTCTCTCATTAATTCTATGCTGTGGCAGCAGGTGATTCACACTCAAAAATGGTAGGCATACCTTCTAACCTGTACCCAAAAAGCTATCATTTATGTAAGCTCCAGACCATAAACTTCTTATCCCCTTAGTAACTGACCCTAAGACAATGAAACTGAGCCACAACACTCTGGACTTCCCATCTCATCCACTGAAGCTTCTGCTTTCTTTGGGATTTCTGTTTGAAAAACAATGGTTAAGAAATTGGATTTCAATACATAAAACTTTGGTTGTTTTTCTTCCAATTTAGTTAATTTGATATATTCATTTTCTACATGCACATTAAGGGTAATTTTGTGTACATTGCTATGGGATAAAGTCATGTTGCATTGTAGTTTTTTAGCCTAAGATATGATTATAGTTTATCATAGTTGAATAACTGGAAGACTTCTCTAGAAAGAACACTGCTTTTTTTAAAGCACTGATATATAAACGCTTTCTTGATTTCAATTAAATGTTTTTTGCAGTACTCATAAGAAAGGGGCTTTCTTTTTAGCATGTAATTTTATTTTGTTTTTAAACCTTTTTATTAAAGTATACATACAGAAAATGCATATATCATAAGCATACAGCTCAATGAATTCTCACAAACTGAACACTGATCAAGAAACAGAACATGACCAGCACCCCAGAAAAACTCCCTGTGCTCCCTTCCAGGCCTTACTGTCCACTTACCCCGCCAGGTGAACACTACCCTGACTTAAATAGCTTTGTCTGCTTGGTATTTTATATAAATTGAGTCAAACAATTATATTGCATATTTTGGTAATATACTCTTAAGTGTCTATCTTCTTTCATTCACATTGTAAATATGAGATTTGTCCATATTGTTGAATGTAGTTATGGGTAATTCATTCTTATTGTCATGTTTTATTCCATTCTGTGAATACTCTACAATATATTTATCCATTCTATTGTTAATGGGCATTTGTGGTGTTTGCAGCTTGGGGCTATTGGGAATAGTGCTACTATAAATACTTTAGTACCTGTCTATTGGTGAACATATTTATGAACTTCTGTTAGGTATATATCTAGGAGTTGAACTGCCAGGCTATATGGTGTTCATGCTCAGCTAGTTTATAAAACTAGTTTTCCAAAGTGGCTTCGCCAGTGTACACTCCCACCAGCACAGTATATGAGTTCTATTTGCTCCACATCCTTGTCAACACTTGGTATTTTCCATCATTTTTACTGTAGCCATTACAGTGGATGTATAGTGATATCTCAGTGTGATTTAATTTTTATTTCCTTATCCTCCAATCCCACCATCTCCCCAAGACAGTTGACTGATATCTCAGATCTGAAACCCAGGCATGGCTGTCATGTGACTGTACCATTTTACATCTCACCAGCAATAGTAAGCAATTAGTAACTTTAAATCTTTCCACACAAAAATGCCCAAAGCTTGATGGTTTAACTGGTTAATTGCATTCAACATTTGACGAGAAATCATATCAACACTCCACAAAATCTTTCAGAAAATAGAGGAGGAAGGAACACTCCCCAACTCTATGAGGCCAGTATTACCCTGATACTTAAGCCATACAAACACATCACAAGAAAATAAAACTACAGACCAACATTCCTCATGAACATAGATGTAAAAATCTTCAACAAAATATAGCGAAATGAATCCAGCAACATATAAAAGGATTATACATTATGACCAAGTGGGGTTTATTCCAGTGATATAAGGCTGCTTCAACATTCAAAAATCAGTCAACGCAATCTACCATATTATATATACAAGGTAAAGAAGAAAAATCACATGATCTACAAATTCAATACAACTTTATCAAATTTCCAGCAGACTTTGTTCCCCAGAAATCGATAAGCGAATCCTAATATTTATATAGAAATAGAAAAGACCAAGATTAGCAAACAGGAATTTGCTAAAAAGCAAAGTGGAAGGACAGTAACCTCCCAATTTCAAAACTATAAAACTACAGTAATCAAAACAGTATGGTACTGGCATGGGGATAGAGACATAGATCAATGGAACAGAACAGAGAGTCTAGGAATAAACCCTGATACTTACAGTAAAAATATTTTTTACAAAAGTGTGAAGGCAATTCATTGGGGAAAGAAAAGTCTTTTCAACATTTGGTGCAAGAATAATTACATATCCACATGCAAAAAGATGAATTTAAATCTTCACACCATACTAAAAATTAACCAAAAAAATGGATCAGATATGTAAATATAAAAGTTAAAACTATAAAAGTTTTAGCAGAAAACATAGGGGAAAAATCTCTGTGACCTTGTACTAGGCAAGGAATTCTTAAGTAGGACACCAAGAGCATGATCCATAAAGAAAAAATGATAAATTAGACTTCATCAAAATGAAAAAGGTTTAAACTTCAAAAGGTACCATTAAGAAAATGAAAAGACAAAGCACAGACAGGGAGAAAACACTTGTAAATCATTTACCTGATAAAGGACTTGTATCCAGAATATATACAGAACACTTACAACTCAATAAAAAGAGGACAAGCAGCCCAGTTTAAAATTAGGCTGAAGATTTGAAGAGATATTTCACCAAAAATATATACAAATAAGCACATGAAGAGATGCCCAACATCATTAGTCATTAGAGAAATTCTGACTAAAACCACAATGAAATACCACTTTATATGTACTAAAACGGCTAAAATTAAAAAAAAATTATAATAAATGTTGGCAAGGATATGGAAAATCAGGAACTTTCCTACATTTCTGGTGTGACTGCATTAAAATGGTATAGCCATTTTGGAGAAGTTTGGCAGTTTCTTAAAAAGTTGATCATAAATTTACCAGAGGACCCAGTACTGCCATTCCCATTATCTACCCAAAAGATATGTAATGTTTTCATGCAAAAACTTACACTTGAATATTCATAACAGCATTATTCATACAAGACAAAAAGTGGAAACAATCCAAATGTCCATCAACCAGCAAGTAGATAAACAAAATGTGGTATATTCAGCAATAAAAAAGAACAAATACTACAGCATGAACTGTTCAACTATGGATGAACTTCAAAAATATGCTAAGTGAAAGAAGTGAGACACAAAAGATCTAGTATTGTATTTGCCTATTGTATTTATATGAAATGTCTGCAAAAGTAAAATACAGAGATCTGTAGATTAGTGGTTGTCTGGGTGTGAGAATGGGAATCGTCATTAACTGTTAATTAGTACAAGGAATCTTATTGGGGTGATTGAAATGTTACAGAACTTGATTGTGATGATGGTTGCACAGCTAGGTAAATTTAATAAAGGTCATTGAGGTGATCCTTAATTCCATTCCTGTTTAAACATCTGGGTTCCCTGCCATAACATCTGTTGCCACCCATATCTAGAATGAAGTGTTGTCTTGGAGCCTGTTGTACATTTAAGAATAAACTTTTGTTTTTTTAAAAAAGGTCATTGAACTGTGCAATTTAAATATGGATCCTAAATTATACCTCAATAAAGTTGTTTCTTTTTCAGAGTTGTTTTGGCTATTCTACGTCCTTTACATTTCCATATAAATTGTAGAATAAGTTTATTCATTTCAACAACAAAAAAAGCTGCTGTGATTTTTACTGACGTTGGTTTGAATCTATAGACCAATTTGGGGAGAATTGAAATGTTAACAATATTGAGTTTTCTGACCCATAAATCAGGCATATCTCTGTTTAATTTCTCTCAACAATATTTTGTAATTTTCAGCGTACAGGTCTTTCACATCTGACAAATTATTCCCTATTTCACATTTTGATGCTATTTTACTTGGTGTTGTCTTATTTCCACTTTATTGTGTAGTATTCATTTTTCGTTTCAATTACTTATTGTTAATTACTAGTATATAGAAAAGCAATTGATGTTTGTATGCTTATCTTGGGCATAAGTTGGAACAGTCCCCACACAAGACTGCCCTCACTCTGACACCAATTGCAAGTTCAAGTGTTCACCCTCAGTTTCAATAATTCAAATCCATCCTTTAAAGCCATTACATGCATTTTCATATTTTTATACCAATTTTATTACTCTTCCTCTCTGATCTACCTCTATTTATACCTTATGATAAACTTGTGTGGAACTATTTAGCATAGAGATTAGCTGATGGTTAGCTAAATGCAATTCTTCCTTAAGCTAGTCATTTGCCATCAGTGTTATATCCTGAAAAGTCTTTAATTCAATTTCCCCATGTATTTGGCCATCAATATAAATATAGTCTTAGCAACAAAGGCAGTGTTACACCATATTATAACATGATAGTAGATGTAATCTGCATACAACACCGTACCTATAGTCAACATAATATACTGTACATTTAAAATTTGTCAAGAGAGTAGATGTCTTGTTAAGTGTTCTTTCCAAATTAAAATACTCAAAAGATATTGGCACATTCATCCCCCAGAACAATATCACTCAGGTTTGCAGACTTCTGTTTGACCTTCTCAGGTTCCAAAAGTAGGAGTAGTCTTGGCAACATATGGCTTCATTCTTTCTGGCATTTGGTTTAATTGAGTTAAGAGACAATATCACCTCTTACTCTGAGCTTTTCGGGCACCAATGTAATGGATTTCCCTTGTTGCATAACCTATTTATTCATTCTTTTACTCTCAGCTATATTCCTTCTTCTCTCCATTTATCATTGAATTTGACCCAAACTTTACCACCTTTGGAGGGGACAATAGGTTTGGCCACTGTGCTGGTCCAGATTGCCAG